ACAGTATTCAAATCCACATAAAACTTAAAGTGCATTATTCGTGCTTGTCTATTCTCTAAGAAGGCTTAGGATAGTTCAAATTGGTTTTTGGATAGAAATGTCAATTTCTTATACTATGGAATATAAACAAATGAATAATCCTTATGCAGTGCTACAACTTAGAGACATGCAAAACCAGAACAGCTTTTCCAATAGTTTTGATCATTAAATCTAAAATTTTCAAGATTTTTTTTAAAAGTATGAAAGAAAGTGTTAATTTCATTTTAAAATACTTTAGTGGGGCCATTTTGCCTTTTCTGTACCAGATAATATACTGAAACATAAAGTCTGTTGTTCAAACACAAAACATGTGCACTATTTAATAACTGTTTTAATTCCTTGTTAGAAAATCTGAAATATGTGAACTAGAAAATTATTTCCAGTACATCAGGACCAGAACTAGAATTAGATATATTTATGTGTAAATATATACCAGAACTAGAATTAGATATATTTATGAGATAGAAAAATATATTGCCTTGAACTTAAATTCAAGTTTGGCAAATATTCTAATTTCTCATTCTTATCCTAATATTTTGATATGAGTTTAAAAGTTTAAAAAATAAATATTAAATAGTTATTCTAGTATAAGCTACACAAGTGACTTTATAATACTATAATAATTGGAAAGGGAAATTACAAATAAGTAAATAAGTGTTTGTATAAATTGGGTAAGACGGCTACTCCATGGTAGGAAGGAAACAGAAAGCATAAACCTGCGTTAGACATGTTTATTCCAGAACACTTATAATTATATGGATTTTATACATACCCATCTTACCTTCGTCCACTGTGGTTACTGCTTCCTCTGTGATTTGACTTCCTGATCCTGCTGATGTTTGTGCATAGAAATAAAACTTATACCGAGTGCTGAAATTTAAATTTTTTAAAGTCCAGCGTGTCTTGTTGGCAGGAATTTTTAAATCTACCAGAGGTCCTAATTCATGTGTACTGTTAACTGTCAATAAGAAATAATGAACAATTCCCCATTACTTGTTATGCTGTCATAAATAAATGTGTTAACCAAAAATGTCAAACCTAGCTTACATTGACTTCTATAATCCTACTCACTCTTTGCCTTGTATTCTAAGTGATAACCTTTCATAGCTCCTTAATATGTTTACCATACCATGTAATCTAACAAGAAGGACTATCTTCTCCATTGGCCTATGAATTAGGATAATTTTAGGGCTGAATCACAGTAGCATTTTTCTATCTCTGTATTTTTGTAGGTGGAATTGTGTATTGTTAAATAACCTCACATTTTTCCTTCAGAAGCCTGTGCCAAAGGAAGCTCTTTTTACCATTTTCTACTTACAGATAATACCTGTCTTATCTAATTATAGCACCCACCTACAATCACCTCTAAAAGACTACAGATTACTTAATTTTCAGTAGGATATGCACCATATTTCTTTAAAAACATCTGGAGTTCTATTTGACTTGTACCCTTGTAAGTCAAATCTATCACGTATAGAACACAAATGTCTTAACAATGTGATTAAGTAAATGAGGTGAAAGCTATGTTAATTAGTAGGATGTAAGCACTCCTATTAGTACAAATAATCAAGCCATTGAATCCCACAAAGGTATAAATGTATTCATGATCTATGTATATATGACTTAATATAAAAAAAATCTGGCGTTCTAAAAGAACGCTTGAAGATTTATGTACATATTCTATAGATGTAAAGAAGTGGCTTATACTTCGTGATAACAGTTAAATATTTTAAAAACCACATTCCCCCTTCTCTTCCTCCTGATAACTTACTTGGCTGATATTTTAGGGTGTACTCAGTCAAAATGCCATTCGGATGGCTCGGTGGATCCCATTCCAAAGTGAGAGAATCCAGCGTAGGATTAACAATCTTCAAAGACTTAGGAGCACTGGGGACTTACAATGACAACACACAGTCAACACAAAGATTTTTGAATGTTTTAAAATGTGTTAAAATGACATTTCACAAGGCTCACACAATTTGCCAAGGTTTTAGTTTTGAGAAACTCATTCCTAACTCGGCTGAAAATACATTAAATGAACCTATGACAAGTGCCTGTTTATTCTCTTCCTCCTCTCAAAATGCATTTTAACTTTGCATTTATATGGATCCCAAAACAAATATCTTTGAAAGAGATAGTACTTATTTGATTCATGAATGCTGTCTTAGTAAAAGCTGACTAGTTACCAAGTGAAATTATGCTAACCAGACCTTTGAGTGAAGCACCTGTGTCCTGGGCCATTCAGGACTGTTTTCCCCGATAAGCCAGGTGCCTCCAGTCAGAACCTTCTGCCCACTGGGCGCTGGGTGTGAGCCAGCCTGCCCAGGTGCAGAGACATTCTTATCCTAAGAGCTGACAGCTGCCCAGGATCTGGTGGTGATGGACAAAAAACCCCCCAACACTGGCACAACCCTGGCCCTGGGTAATCCCTGAGGGATGACAGGTTCTCTATGGCAAAGGCCGACAAATTTCCAGAGAAAACAAGCCGGTCTTCTTTTATTCATTTCCTCAAGAGGATGAAGGCTGGTGGCAGTTCTCCCTCACCATGGTTACCTCCCCATCACATTCCCTGGAAACCTGTTATTGGCACCACTGTCTACTGTTGGGCTAAATGAAAACCAAAAAGTCATCCTGAACTTCTCTGTCTGCCTATGTCCACCATCTCTTGGACACTAAATTCTTCCAAGTCTACTCCCTTAATCTCAACCACATTTACCCCTTCCTTTCCCCACCTCTCCCCATTTCAGGCCCTTGACAGCCTTTGCCTGGGCCTAGAACAATGCCTGGCACATGCTTCTCAGATTCCTCAACCCAACAAGTGGTTCTTAACTTTCAGAGATCAAAGACTCCTTTGAGAATCTGATGACAGCCATAAACTCTTCCTAGAAAAATACATGCACACTTTACATACAATTTTAGAAGATTTATGGAGCTCCTTAAACGCATCCATTGACCCTGGACAGGACAACATGGTAATATCCATAGCATCTAATACCAGCTGTGGTCTGGGTCCTCCCTAGCTGGCCTTCCTCTCTTTTCTCACCACATCTGGCTGACAATAGGCGATATCCTAAAGGAGCCATACTGTCTTACATACTACTTCCTCTCTATCGTTCAATCTTCTTATCATTTCCATGATACGATCTCCTGAACCATCTAAAGGACCAGTGTTGGATCTCACTCATGACAGCCTTGAGTGAGTAGGAGGAGGCCTGACTGTCAGGGGCTGTAAGATCAAGGACAGTGTTGTAGTGGGGTGGGAGTTAGGACACAGGGGGACTGTTATCCCATTTAGTTCTCGTGCTTTTCAGATGAAGCTACTGAGGCTTAGAGAAATTACAGAACTTGCCCCAGGTCAGAAAGTCAATGACCCAAATAAACATCATATTAGCTAGCAATGGTTCAGATAGTAGACATGTATAGAAAAATTTTAAGTCAAGGGAGAGGTGTTTGGGGTCAGCCTTTGGTGTTCTGAAGCTTTCCAGGTACCCTCAAGCTACATATGAGCTGACATTTTGCCAGCTTTGTGTGTGCTGTGTTGTTCGCCTATGGAGAAACTACATTTGGCTTCCAGAATCTACTTTATCCTGACCCCTCAGGCCACGTCACATGTTCCTGAGATCTTGGATACATGTCCATCCCGTACCTCCTTCTGGAGTATTAAAGACACTGTCGGCGCTGGCTGGGCCCTCTCCTTTCCCGTTGACCACGCGGACGTTCAGTGTGTAGTGGCTGAAAGGCTCTAGGCCGGGCAACATGCCATGCGTCTTGCTGCCTTGGAAGGTGAGGATCTTTTTCTCAATGTGACGTCTGTTTCTTTTAGATGAACTCTGTGTCTTCCAGTAGTAAATCTGAAACAGCAAGAACAAAAGTCAGGGCAAATAAGACTTCTCAGACTCATAAAACTGTAGTTTTTTT